GCGCGATTGAAATTGCTCCCATTCTTGTCTAAGACACAAGCTGAAGTGCAATGAAAACTGATCTGGCTGCTCCTAGCCTGCCCCAGAACGTAGTTTTAGCTGCTCCCAACCTGCTCCAAAACAGCTGTTTCAGCTGCTCCCGTGGCTGCTCCCAAGTACGTTTCATGAGTTCCACCCCTGGTATACATTCAAACAAAAACACAAGGTCGTGCGAACACCATCTAGTTGCAAGTTCAGATATCTGTAATGATTTCAGCGCTTCAAGGTACCGTATTTTTCGGTGTACAAGATGCGTTTTTTTTTTTTCAAACATTTTTCTTGGTGGAACTTATATAAGATTTTTGAAATTTTTTTTCAAGGTGCGACACCATATTTTTATATGCCGAGCGCCATTTTTTGTAGAGCACCATAACTACGTAGCCATAGGTGGTGTTCCCCCTCCAGGAGGCACTGCTGTCGCCGCACTATTTTGACTCGGAATGCGAGATATTTTAATTATTATGGTTTCCCCAAAACGGCTCAGTGTGAATAGGAAAGACAGTGAGAATAAAGCTTAAAGCTTTTACCGCATGTTATTGATGTTGCCTAATTCAGCCATGGTTCCATATTTTTTTGCGTCTGTCCAGTAACACTGAAAAGTAAGTGGGTTGGTATACACACATTGCAGAGTATTTTCTCACGTCTCTCTTAGTTTCCGTTTGATGAGCAGTTTTTTGTGCCATGCTCCAGCCGTGTTGCAACATGTAAAAGGAAGGATTGTGTATAGCCAATCTTTTAGAGGTACCAAAAAAAGTATGTCAAGCTTTATATTTTTGCCTGCGCATCGATGCTTGCACCGTCTCCGGGACTTGGCCTAGGCTAGGCCTAGTGCTTCAAAGCTTGATTCGCAAGTGTCTAGATCTTTAAACTTTCATTCGCTCGGAATGCTTTCGCTCGAATAAAGTTGACCACCCTCTCATTTTGCACATTTTAGGTACGTCCTTTTGCTGCGAAACACTGTATTTCCCCCGCCAGACAGCACCATACCAGGGCATTTCTTGCGAGTCGAAATGCACGTCAAACTGTATGTGCGATCTAGAAATAGTGCAAAACTCCGATTTCGTGATACCAATGCTCGTAAACCAAAGAACTCACCACGTGATCCATGCAAAGAGGTGCGACTTACACAGAGGTGCGACTTATATACCAACTTTTCCACGAAAACGGCTCAATATACGGATGTGCGACTTATAGTCCGGAAAATATGGTATACGTATGAGTCATGTGAACATGTAAAATGATAAATTCTAGCAAACCTTTTCTGTATGCGTTCTAAATTTTTCGAAGCAGTCATACTAAGACTGTTCCAGATTCCTGAACAAAAATCATGTTTTGGGAGAACTATGCTCCGGTAAAGCACAAATAAAAGATATACACTCGAAAAACTTTAGCTAAATCGTGAGATTACACCGAGAAGTCTAAAACAAGAGCTCACAACATGCGACCCTTGCGAGTTGAAAATAAGTTTGGAGTCGAGCAATACTCCAAGGTCTTTTACACACAGGACACGGTTAATGGATGCTCTTTCTGAGCGGTACACAAAAAAAGTAGGATTAGTCTTGTGCGTGAAAGGTATAACCTTTTTTTCCCTCAAAGTTGAGTGTAAGACCAATGTTTAGACACCACTGACATGGCGTTAACGTCTTTTTGAAGTAGAATACAGTCACTTAATGTCAATAAGTCTTTGTAGATTTTGAGATTGTCCGCAGACTGCAAGAGACATGATTGATGAACAACGTCTTAGATGTCCTTGACGAATACGTTAAAAAGAAGAGATCCAAGGTTGGAGCCCTTCAGATGGCACAGAAAAGAAGCGTGACTTTGCACGAGCATAGCTGACACTATTCGCTCTTCCAGAAAGATGACTGTCAAACCAAGAACAATAATCATCACTGAGACCGTACACAGAAAGTTTATATAACAATAGTTTTATTCACGCGATAGAATGCCTTACTACATTCAAAGTACGCTGCATCACTTTGTCCTCGAGAAAAAAACAGTGGGTGCAATATCATTTAAGAAACACTCAAGGTTCGTCTCAATAGAGCGACCACTCATGAAACCGTGTTGCGTGTCAGGTATTACGCGCATGAAATAATGTGTCAAATCCTTATGAATTATCTTTTCGAACACTTTCGAAAAAACGGATTGCAAAGATATCCCCCCTGTAGTTCTGAACATTTGTTGTGCTACCAGATTTGAAAAGTGGAATTACTAAGCCGTTTTTCCAGGCAAGCAGGAAAACTGATTGCTTCAGTGACAAATTAAATATGTGTTGAAGTACCGGAGCTAGAATGTCGACGCACCCCTTAACAATAAAGTTGGGTATGCCATCAAGGCTGCATGACTTTTTAGATGGGAGCTGACGAATTTCCCTTATAACGTTGTCAAGATTGATAAGAGGAAGTAGAACGTGGTCTTGAACAGCATGTTAGGCGTCTGAGCTATCAACAGTGGCCGATGAGTAGGTAGAAGAAAAAGAATCAGCAAAGTTGTACACAGTTTTAGGGTCGGTGGAATATCTTCCATCTATCTTCAGCGACGTCAGTACCTGCCTATTGGACATGCGCTTTTTAACTAAATGCCAGAAATCCTGGGGAGGCTTAGAAACATTGTCTCAACGTGGTTTCAATAAGATTTTTTTATCACGGTTGTACAGAGTCTTAACAATAGCTCTGCACATCTTGAACCTGTCATAAAAACTTTGTCGTTATTCGTAGATCAGTATAGACGATGCAAGTACAATTTCTTGTGCATGAAACATTTCATTTCGCAAGAAAACCAAAAGGGGTATCTGTTGGATCAATGAGTTTGTTTTTTTGTTATAAAGCTTTTCATTCCGTTCAGCACTATCTCCGTTAAAGCAGCGATGGCTTTGTCGACGGAATCTAGGCGAAGCACGTCAACCCAAGCGTGCGTAGCATAAAAACGGTGCAGGTCGAGATAAGAGCCATTGGCATAATCAAGCCTAGAAATGTTTATGTTGTTGACAGGTACAACTTGCACTTCAAGATTAAGAGAAAATGGGACATACCACAGATCAACTGGAACGTCTGGACTGCTGATGCCAGCAATATTATAAGTTTCAAGATTAGTGAAAAAGACGTCTGAATCATTACCACATTCGTCTAGAGGAACTTCACCACAATATAGATCGTTGTAATTAAAAAAAATTTAAAAGCTGATTGCCTTTTTGACAGCTGGCGGTTAAGGAATTGCTGCTCCACCAGTTGCCAGGCACGTTGGAATCGCCGAAAAGAACAATATTACACTCTGTAGGGTCTAGTTTGTCCGATAAGGTATCCAAAACTTGCCTGAATTCTTGAAAATTGAGAAACGGTGGTAAATAATAATTTCCGATTAAAAGATTTTTTGGCCCTCCTGTTCTTAACTCATGCCATACGCATTCTTCGTAATTTTCAAAATCCGAACGTCGAAATGCCGTAATATTTTTGCGTATAGCTATCAGTACTCCTCCATCGTATTTCTGACCGGTAGTTCTATAGTTCCGATCGCTATGAAATGTGCAGTAGTTGTGAGAAAAGTATTCTGATGGTGAGATATCGCACGTGAGCCAGGTTTCCGAAATGCAAAACACATCGTGATCTGAAAGCACAGCCCCTTCGAAAAACTTGTCGGCTTTTGTGGGGAGACCTTTCACATTTTGATAGTAAACCGATAATGTTTTGTGTGATTCACGTGGCCGCATTTTCGAGTTCGTCAGTTTTTAGTGCGCCCCGAAATCGACGAAAAAGACAACCCTCAGGCCAAACTAATGTGTCGTTAATAAGATCAAACTTGTTTGCACTCACTAAGACATGAAACAATGAATATGAAGGAAACTTGCTTTTGAGCCTTGTAGAGACGAGCGCATCGTCCATCGCCACGTCGGACACAAATTTTACGATATCTCCTGTGGATGTAACGGGGTGCCACCTTGTGACGAAGAGTGCTTACTGCGCAGGGCCCCGAGGAATGGTGGTCAGTGACGTTGACTTGCTGGCACCAGTGCAAACTTCGTTGTTTACAAACTGTAGTCCAGCCATCTTCGGACGCAGTTTGGGCAGCAGAACTCAGACTCGCATTGTCCAAGCTCAAGGGAGCTGCCAAAGCGGGCTCACCGGAAGTTGTTTGGGCCTTGTTGGTTGCCGTTTGTTTCTTGAGTTCGTCAGGAGAACCGGGGGTGCTTCTTCAACTGCTTTTTTCGCTACACTCCTCGTCGTGTTGGCACAACTTGGCCCGGTTGGTGGAATCGTTCTTAGAGTGTCGAGCACCTTTGCAACGTTGACATTCACGAAGTCCAAGCGTTTTAGCCCCAACGCATGGTTCTTTTCAAATGCCAGCTTCATCGTAGCATTTTTGACCTTGAGGGAGGCCACTTCAGCTTCTAGTCGGTCAACTTTCAATAGTAGTTTATTTAGAGGGATAGCCATATCTAATGACTCTTCATTCGAATCGAGAACAGTAGGCGTAGTCCAACACGTTGGCACCGCTTTTTCGTTGACGGGGCTTACCTTCGAGCACGGGCGCCTAGTGCATGCACTGCACTTGTAAATGCTGACTCTGTCGCGAAAAAGAACGTCGTAATCTTCAGCGCGAATGTTCAAACATTTTGAGTTGAAGTTGCTTTCGGACTCACCACAGCATGTTTGAGTGCTTTGAAGTTGCATGAACAACGCCGCATCCACTTCCCCAAGTTTTCTAATGAGCATATACCATTTCACATTGCAACACTTTTGCTCAGCGATGAACCTCTTGTCTCTTACAGACAGGTTTTAACTTTCTAGAAAGCAGAGATGTTTTACACTGCCTGTAGACAGCAATTCTATTGGAGAAGCTCGATTAATCCTGATTTTAACCTCATACCCAAAGCCTATTCATCAATCTTGTGTTTGGTGCACTGTGGCCCATGTTGCTGCTGTGCCATAAACCCCCGTATTCATTCATTCATTTTTCTGCAGGTTTTGCATCCAGCACGAATAGCGGTGTGCAGTGCTCGTGAATCAGATGTGGTGTGCCAACCGTTACGAGCAACTCTGCAAAGTACATCAAGAAGAGTTCCATTGTGCTCCGACCGACGTCGTACTGGTGGATAGGATTCTTGCCACTGCAACCCGTTTTCTTCGGGAGTCTGCTTTGTGGGAATAAACCATGGCTTCATCGTCGGCTACGTCAGTGGTAAGCGGTGGAGGGAGCAGTTGGTGAGTACCCACTTTTTGGTAACAACCGCTGTCGGCGGTTGTTCTCCCGCAGGGCCGTCGCGTCGGTCCCCTAAGAGGAATGCTGGAGTCGCTAGATAAGCTGTAATTAAGAGTAACGACACTTCAGCCGTCTTGTTGCTGAAGATCACTGTTGCCAGAGGAAGTTTTCCCGTCTTACAGAAACATTTTAAAGGCCAGTGACTGTGTGAAACGACATTGCTTGAATTTCTCAACACAGAATGTATAGCTGGGGAAGTCACATTTTATAATTGTAAGTACCGCCAGTTGCGCATCACACCTTCTGAGCTACTAGGCAACAAAATGGCAGTGTGCACGAGACATTCGGGGGACGTAGTGTCGATACTCTGAAGCTTTTTAACCTATTTAGTAGCTCTAAGGAACATGATGAGGAATTTTACAAGGGGATACCAGATTACCCTGTCCTCCTGCGAACGAATATCTCATTTGGACATTGCTGGAACCTTTGTGGGACGGAACAGGGTACGAAGTGGGTCCTCGTTGCTGCATTTTATTTTTCTACTTTGCTGCCTCTTAGAGTAATGGTCTTGTTGCATTCTATCTGCAGCAAGGCTGGCTAATCAGATTATTGATCGAGGAGACACTGCAGTGTGGGACCCTGCGCAATAATAATAAGCAATGAAGTAAATTTGCGTACGGGTGGGCATGTAAACAGTTTGTTTATTGTGTAGTGAAATATGGATACACATTTTGTGTCACTGCATATATACACATTTGTTAAGAAGTATGATAAAGACGAAGTAGAAAAAATTCTGAAAGGTGGTAGAAGCATGCAAGTTCACATATCGAGTCAAATCATCGGCCGTGTTCCAAATCTTACCGAGTTACTCCGGCGGAGCATGTCATGTGACAACACAGATAAAGCAGTGCTGGATGTAGGTAGGTTTTTGAACGCCAAGATACAGAACCTTTACCTTAAAGTGAGATGGAGTAAATTTTGAAACACGACCTTATTGTGTTTTATTTTGAGATGCGTTAGTGTATGAGCGTATTCATTCAAGGGTCTCGGTAATTTCACAGAAAACTACTGAAGGGACTCCTTGTCTTTATACGCGGGATGAGGGAAAAAAAAAAAGTTGTCACAGATTTATAAGAAATGAAATTTCATATCGTGATGCAGATAGGAAACTCGCTATTAACCCTTTCGGCCCTGAATTTTTTATTTTGAGTGCAGATTTTTGTTAGTGTGTTTTATTATGTTTTTATGGGTTGAATAATACCCACCCAAAATTTGAGCCTTGTAGTCGATCTAATAACCGAGTTAGCGATATGGCGTCAAAACAGGACATCAGGGCTCAAGGGTTGTAAAATGAAAGTTGTCGGTGCTTTATTTACAAAGTCCGCAGGAGAGCTAACGAGGCAGAAATTGTCTTAGTTCCGCAGGTGAAACGCCTTAAAGCAGTTTCTGGACTTGGTCAAGCACAAGTGAACGTTGCATTTGTCACACATGACTCGAGTTTTCCCAGTGCAGCGCTCCATCTTGCATCGTTGCTCCCTTGAGTCTTTGTGAACAGGCCAATGACCCATTTGATCGAACCTGACATCTTGAACAGGCCTGTTTTCTGCGAACCTCAGTTGCTTGGAAGGCTGCAGAGGAGAATCCGAGGGCCTCCCTCTCTTCCGCGACACAGGTTTGCTCTCAGCTGCTGAAAGTGCCTCAATGACACCTAAGGTAAAGTCAAGTAGGTCGAGCTGTTTAGTGGGCAAGATAAGCTGCTTGTCAGCGTCTTTCCTGTACTCGAGCCAGGCGTTCACAACTGCCAGGTTCATGAAATGAAATATCATCCTGAGTGTCCACTTCCTCGATCGGATGGTCGTGCGATAAAGAGCTACAAGAAAATCCACTTTGTCGACGCCACCCATGCTGCGGTTGTATGCACCGACTACAGCTGGTCGTTTGATGTCGAGAAAACACTTGTCTGCTTTGCTCCACCGGCGAGCGGTGTCTTCGTTCTCCACAGCAACAAAGTTGGATGCCAAGGTCACCACCCTGTTGTCCATCCACCTCGTCACGACCACCTGTCCATCCCCACTCACGAGGCAATCAGATGAGCCACGTCCTTTCTTCTTGAGGTCCTTTTCGCTCATCAAGGGACATTTTTCACATCGGTTGGACCTTACTGTTCCGGCAGCAAATATTTTCTTCTTCAGCATTTCACGAAGCAAAGGCACAGACGTAAAATAGTTGTCAAAGAACAGCTTATGTCCCAAACCAGATGGTATGCGCTGAGCCAGTTGCAGAACTATTGCACCTGTGATACCAAAGTTGCACTTTAGGTCCTCAGCTAAGCTAGTTGTCGATCCTTGGTATGGAAGAAAGTCGTAGATAAGGCCAGATTCGCCACAAAGCATAAATATTTTCACTCCCCATGGGTTTGGCTTTCCCCTGATGTATTGTTTGATGTCAAGACGGCCTTTGAATGGCACAATCTGCTCATCAAGGGAAAGGCGCTCCTCTACATCGAGCTCATTGCACCGTTTTTGAAAAGCATCCATTAGCGGCCTAACCTTCCAAAGGCGGTCAGTCGTGCTGGGGTTATTGACATCAACGATGTGCAGGTTGTTCCGCAGCTTCTCAAAGCGGTTGCGTGACAGTCCAGTTGACGCTACAAGAGCCGATTTCATGCTTGGCCTCCAGTACAGTCTCATCCTCGGATAGCGCAGAACACCCATGGTGAGGTGAAGTGCTACAAGACGCCTTATTTCTTCTTCATCGGTTTTGACTGAGCTTCCCTCCTGTAGCACCGAGTACTGGTTTGTTTTATCCACGAGTTCAAGGAACACACTTTTTGGAACATAACGTCTAAAATATTGATACGGGGACGGTATTTCCTCTTCCAATTCGGGCACTTCATGGAAGCCTCCTTGAAATGTTGAGTCTGGTTTCTGAAATGGTCTCCTTTTCCATCCACCGGATGTTCCGAGTCCGCACTCATCATCAGAGCTCTCGCTCTCACTGTCTGGTTGTGCTGGATCGGTCCCATGAAGCTCGACAGCATCGCCTTCTTCATCGCATTCGCCCTCTACATCGGACAAATTTCCATTATCAAGGTCCTCAAAAAGCGCGTCTGTGGCTGCTTAGAGCCGCTGGTGCGAGTAAAACAACGGCGTTGGTATGGGCGCACCTGCGAGAAAAAAGAAACAGCTAACCAGAAACTCCGCGCCCGTTGTGAACTTAGTGGCAGCCATCTGCAACCACTGAGCCCTGATGGCGTCAAAATCGCACATGGTGAAAAAAAGGCACTAGGAAAAAACTATGCGCAACATCACACCAGTTCAAGCGCTGGTACGCTCAGGTAAACATGAAAAGTGCTATATATAAATTGGAACGCATCTATTCTAGGATTTATTTAGTTATAATAAATAAAAAAACAAGCTCACCTGGCGCGCGGCTCGCCATGCTTTCGATGGAGATTCTTTTTCTTTCTTGCCGCCAGCGCGATACCATCACGTGAGTACTGATGGCGATGGCAGGAGGCATTCCTAAAGACTGGCTCGGGAAAAAAATTGACAGTTCTGGTTTCGTTTTTAAAGTGCCAGGACGAATTTTAACTTGTGGCGTCAATTGACACCGCTAGGGCCGAAAGGGTTAAATAAAACCTTACCTTTTACAAAAAGTAATAGCGCATACACAACATATATGTAACCATTTTTTTTATTTATGTCACTAGCCGGCCATTTGTTGGTGCTCCTACTCGCAACTACTGTCGCTCTCTTCCCTGACGTCGCTTGCTGCTTCGTCGTCATCGTCGGCCCACAGTGCATCTTCTTCTGTACCGTCTAGGCTGTTTGAAATGCCAGTCTTTTTGAAGCTGCGGATGATCATATCGCCGGGAATTTTGCTCCACGCCTCCAGAATCCATCCGCAGAGCATATTAATGGATGACCTCCTTATTTTCCCTGTTGGAGTAAGGTTGTGGTTCCCGTCAGCCACCCATTCCGTGTACAGCCGCCGCACATTGTCCTTGAAAGGTTTGTTTATAGAGACATCAAGGGGCTGCAGCACAGATGTCAGGCCACCCGGGATCACGGCGATGTCTGTGCGCATTTCTCCCATTCGGCGCCAGACACCTTTCTCCAGATGGCCGCAGAAACTGTCGACAACAAGCAGCGACGGCAAAAGAAGAGCCCCCGGGCGCTGTTCCCAAACTGTCTTTAACCAGTCCACCATCAGCTCCGCCGACATCCAGCCCTTCTCCTGAGCACGGACATGAATGCCGGCGGGATGAGAGTTCTTGGGAAGCGTCTTCCTCTTGAAAACGACAAACGGCGGCAGCTTCCTGCTATCAGCTGTTATTGCCAACATCACTGTGCACCATTGTTTTTCAGCGCCCGTCGTCTTCACGAGCACACTTTTCGCACCTCGCACTTCCACCGTGCTGCTTCACGGCATGTCGAAGTTGAGAAGAGTGATCGGTGTTCCCAGTCTGGGAGAGAAGGAACTCCTTTTCCTGCCGTATCCGAATGACAAATCGATGGAAATCTTGTATTTTGATTCCACAGTCCGCCGGCACTCGTTGGCATGACGTCGTGCGCCTTCTAAGGCACAGCCCATTTCGGCGCATGAATCACATCCAACCGCTGCTGGCTTTAAAATCGCAAGCAGGAATGCCGTGATTTCTGGCTGTGGCCCGCACGTGGTTTTGAATCGGCTTGCGGGACACTGCACAGCCTCCATTGCGGAGCCTCTTCACGTAATACAGAACTTCGTTCTCCACGAGAGGAAACCTGCCTTGTTTTGGCCCTCGAAATGCGCGGTGATCCTTTTTTGTAGCGCAAAGCTCTTCCTCTTGTTTTCGCCAGTAGCGTACACGCACCGGATCGACGCTGAAATGCCGTCCAGCCATGCGGTTCCCATGCTCCAACGCATGCTCAACGGCTTTGAGCTTAAAACCGGCCGTATAGCTAGCCTACCGGCTCATCGTAGCTTTCGCAGCAGGTGTCCAAGTTCTCCGCAAAACACAATCCACACAAAAACAGAAGCAGCGATGAAATGGCGGCGATTTTATGTTGTTTGTTACGGTACTTTCTTTACTACCGCCGTGCTTGCATGGCGCTATAAGCAAGGAGCTTTCTGTAACAATCGACAGACGGCGCTCCGCCACAAAAAGGCGCGATTTTTAAACTGTTACTTACATTGTTCGCGTCGCGGGAGACTGTTTAGCATGGTTCTTAGACTTTTTAGCATCGGTGCTTGATATATAACGGTGTGCTGTTATGTTATTGCAGTCGTCTACGGCACTGACAATTGCACCAAAATAAAGTGAACAGATATTACACTCCAACTTTTTAATTGGGGTGCTCCCTCCACACGCACACACAAAAAAAAAAGTATTTCCTCAAGGACAAAAGTGGGGGGTGGGTTCATTATGCGAGTGGGTTCATTACGCGAGTAAATACGGTATATGCGTGCGACTCGAAAGGGGCCCCCATTAAAAGAGTTGTTTATTACACTATGAAACAACCCCGACTGCGTAGGGAGGGATAAAGGCCCCAAAGAGATCTCGCAGAAAGGGCCTGTGCCTAGGCAACAAACAAAGGGAAACGAGAAGGAAGAAGGAGCCCGTTCAGAGGACTTCAGATGGGTGCCAAACCTCCAGCTAGAAGGTCCTGCTGAAGATTCCCTCTGGTCCATGCCTGTGGTGCGGGGGTTTCCTATGTTACATGCATAAATTCGAGGTTGCCAACCTGCATAGGTCATCATTTTGAGCCAACCTCATTCACACTTACGGTCACCCCAGTTTCCTTCATTAGAACACACTCACAATTTATTCAAAACAGGTTCATCACACATACTCAACATCACGATGCAACCCGAAACCAAAACTCGCTACTGCTCGTAGCCACGATTTATTCAAAACAGGGTTATCACACATACTCACCTCACAGTTAAGCACATAATCACGATTGATCAGAACAAGGAGATCAAACACGCTCACCATCACGATCAAACCTGAAGCCAAGACTCACTCACCCTCTTATCACGGTCATCACACTGACAGGTCATCACAGTACTTACACTCACCCTCTTGTCACGGTCATCAGAATCACAGGTTATCACTGTGTGGCATTCAGCTTCTGCCGTCCGCCTCGACGTATCAGCCGGACCAGTAGGCGCTCAAGTAACAAGGCTTTACTACCATCTTACTCCTAGATGCCTTGTCCAACAACTACTGCAACAACCACAGCTATTAGAAAGACCAGCTACTGTTGCCCACAACTCCCCGCGATGGGCCTGGCGGGGCCCTTATTGTCTCCACCAAACTGCGGCGGCACCGAAACCGCTGCGTCAGCGGTGTACACACCCACACCGCTTATCACATATACAGCTAATCACGGTACGCACATTTACAGATAATAATAGTAATCACATTTATAGCTCATCAAGGTCATCACACTCGCTTTTCTTATTGCTCAGACAATGTTTACCTGTGTTCGAACTGATATTAGCCTCGTTTAGTAATGCTGAGAAAGGTGCAACGAGAACTGTATAATTTCATTTGTTATAATGCAGGAGGTTCACGTCTGTGTAGCATGTTCGCCATTTCTCTTCTTCCTCATTCCCAGTCTTGCCCCCTGCCTTTGGGGATCGCAGTAGGGAGAGAGCGGGCATGTGGCACCATCTCGGTTACATATTAGACACCGCATTTTCCCTCCTGCTTTTAAAAGGGAATCCTTAGCGGAATTCCCTCGCATGGTCATAGCATTTCTGGTTGGTCAGGCTGGTAGCTGTAGACGCCAATTTTGAGAATGCCCGCTCAGCATTTGCACTGAACACTGGAAGTCCCAAAATGTTCAAGGAGGCTTGGAACAGTACTGGAACAGCACAGTTTTTCTACCACCTAGATTGGCATTTTTCCAGCCACTCTTTGTAGCCTTTTGATCCCTCTTTGGGGCCTAATGCTGCAACCATGGCAATAGTTGCTGACAGCAGCATAGTCGAGAATGAGGCCTGTTTCCAGCTCTATGGCGACGCCAACGCCGAAATGTGATGTGTGGCCTCGCTTGTTCCAGGTTCTGTCATAACTGATGGACACATCTTGCAGTGCTTCATCACCGTCGGGGTTAGTTCCCTTGTGCCTTCCGCACCATCCGTACGGCCTCCTACATCACATTCAAGCTACTCGCATGGCCGCTTCGTGCATTTTCGTTGCAATGTTTTGATAGGTCTTGAGGTGCATCGGTGGCGGAGCACTTAGTCCGGTAAAAAAGTTTGTTAGTTTCGTGAAATCAATGCCACAGTTCCGGAAAACAATTCCGAGGTGTGCTGCGAGTTCGGTTTGTGGCGTGCCATCAACGGTCGACGAGAGTGGGACCGAAATGACGACCCTGCATGTAGAGCACTCGACAGAAACCTTCAGACGAGCTCTTAAAGACCGCCAGCGCGACAAGTTGGACAGAGAAGCCCTTCGACCAGGCTTTGCACACAAGACAGATCCAACAAACTGTAGCCAGCTGCATTGTCACCGTAAAGCTCCCTGGGCATCTTCCTCGCTCCCGCCACTTTCTCCTGCCTCAAAAAAACTAACCTTCTGATCAAATGTTGTGAGCATGTCCGCGTCGCAAAACAATGCACTTTCGGATGCTGACGTTGCTGGGGCTAGGGCCGTGAGATCTGCCCGAGCAGGTGAAGATCTCGGACACTGTTGTGTACAGGAGCCTGTCTCGGTAGC